TAATATTATTCTGTGATAAAAAAATATTAAATAGGGTTTTTTTTATATAGCCATCTTTTTTTTAATAATAATTATTTTATAATTTAATATAATTTAAATTATAAAATATAATATTCAAAAAAAGAGATCAACCTCAAACTGATGGACCTACAGGTAAAAAAATGTCATTTTAAGTTAAGTTCCCTGACAGATACTTAAACAAATTTAAATTCTTTAAATGTATGAATTACACCGAGCCGCTTTTATGGCGGCGTCTAGATTTTAATCTTATGTGCCAAAAAGTTAATTCAAAAATACCTTAAATAAATAATATAATATAAAAGTTATGTTGAAAAAAAAAAAGCAATTGACGAATTCTTCAGTTAACTATTTCTGAGCGAATTTTTCGATCATTCCTTCACCGCCACCGAAATTCATCTCACCGTCTTCACGTCGTGATTTTCCTTGCCGGTTCTAATTTTTCACGCACCGCTACAAGCTTTTTTCAAAATCCTGATCCGGCCACTGTTGTTTTCGGTCTAGATCAAGCGCGTCGGTGATCGTTCGATTCGCGGCGAATCGAGCGCGTGGATGGTCGGTTGGTCTGTACGTGCTCAGCAGGTTGCGTCGGGGGGGATTTGTGTGTTTCTGAGGTTTTACTTCTATCCTTTTCTCCTGACCTGACGGGTTATTTGGACGCTTTTGATGGGCGATCTTCAGGATTGGTCGCCTGAACTTAATGGCGTCGTGTCGGAGGAGAGACTGTCGTCGTCTTCGTCGTCTTCGTCGTTTTCGTCGTCTTCATCGTCTTCGTCCTTGGTTTCTTCGAATCAAACGGGGAATGGTGGGGAGATTTGGCAGAAAGCTGAGGAAGCAACTCAAGAGATCATAGCGCTGGTGCAGCCAACTGTTGTGTCCGAGGAAAGAAGGAAAGGGGTTATAGATTACGTGGAAAGCCTAGTTAAGGAACATCTTCACTGTAAGGTGAGATTGAACAATTTGTTTGTGATAATCAGCTATTTAGCTGTTGTTTGATTTTATTTTATGTGATTTTATTGTTATGTGGTGGTATTGTAATTGAGTTATGGCTCACAGGTATTCGTGAGTTTGGCAATTAGAAGCATGTGGTGGTGTTGCATTGTGGATTTCTGTTTAGTTTTAAATTTTTGTTTTTGGCACTTGTGGAGATTTTTAGGATTATTATTACCTGTGGTAAGCTGATGAAATTAAAAATTTTAGGTCTGAGGTTGAAAAATAAACTAATACAAGAAGAGATTGGAATTTGCTTTTATTCCATAGCTGGGGTGAGAGGGTTGTCTGTTGTTATGTAAGCAAACATTAGTTGCGGATGATGCCAGCTTTTTGCATCACGCGCTACCCTTTAAATTGAGCTCTATTACCTATTAAGTGGAAGAGTGTTTAGAGTGTAAGGCCATTAAGATGTCACGACAAGAAGGAATCTCAATAAATAATCTTTCCAAGTGGATGTTATCTCAACCATTGAATTTTGACCTTTGGTGAGCTAGTTGAAATGCTATCTTATGGTGATGGATATGGATGGGCGTTACAGGCTCCCCTGAATGTCAAGTTCAGGCTAGGTATTGTTGATAGATCTTTAATCAGTAAGTTGAAACCAGAGATATGGGGGGAGGGGGGTGGGGGGTGGTTTCAGGCTTCCCTAAATGTCAAGTTCAAGCTAGGTATTGTTGATAGATCTTTAATTGGTAAGCTGAAACCAGAGATTGGCTAGCAACATGCTCTTCTTAGTGTCCTGTATAGGACAGACATGAAAAAAAGGTTGATTAATGTTTATGTGAAATTTTCTTTCTACTTCCTGTTATGTATCTTTCCAAGCAGCGTTTTCATGGTATGCAAGGTGTTGTGACCTTCATATGTGAATTTATTTGATTGTTAATTAACATCAGTAGATTCTGTGTATTTATTGGCAAAGAAGTATTTGCATTTTATCATATGTTTTGGAAGAATCTTCCAAATTTTCTATATGCCTTTCTTTTTAAATTTGTTCTTGCTCTCTTCCCAGTTCATGATTGAAATGTAGACAGTTTAAATATGGATTCTTTCTAACTTGTATTAGTTTTAGGTTTTTCCGTTTGGATCAGTCCCATTGAAGACCTATCTTCCTGATGGAGATATTGATTTGACAGCCTTTGGTGGTCCGAATGTTGAAGAAGCTTTGGCCACTGGGTTATGTTCTGTCCTTGAATTTGAGGAGAAGAACAATGCTGCAGAGTTTGTAGTGAAGGATGTCCAATTAATCTGGGCAGAGGTTTATAACTTAAACTCTATGTTTCTGTTTCTATAAACCTTCAATTTAGCTATATGATGATATTTTTTTGGTTGAACAACTGAAAACTATTTCTTTTGTTATCATAAAATATTTGGTTTATTTTTCTGTTCATGTATGTGTTTTGAGCGCCATGTCCCCTTCTCCCTCTTACAGGATTCTAGAAATATATGTCAAATCAGAAAGAGGGCAATGCGAGTATTTAACTCTTTTGTATAAATATCATTTGTTACAGCTTACACAATTGTCATGTGTCTTCTACTTTATGGTATGTTAGAATTTCCCAGCAAAGCATTTCATGCTTACAATAGTCATGATTAAAGCTTTGAAATGAAATAATGTTTTACGTTTATGAAGTTTTGGATTTTATCATTTTCATTGTAAATAATAGGGAACTGGGTATTACATCTAAAGTTACGTGACTCCTAATGTGATTAATACAATTTTTGGCATGTTGAAAAGGAAGAATCTTTTTTTAATGGTGTGCCTTACTTGCCTGGTTTCCCACAGTGCCAAAAATTACTTATCACACTAATGATTTAGAGATGACCACACTTTATTTAATGTCATTTATATCAATTGTAATAGGCTGCTTGCTAGTTGGTCCAACAACTTGCAAGTCTACAAATCTGCTTAACTATCAAAGATTTATGGGCATGCAAAATCAACAAGTTTTTGTGCTTGTGCATCGTAATATATGATGCTCCTTGTGTTTGGCTTGAGATGACTTTTTTTTTTTTCATATTTTACATTTCTGCCCTTTGGTGATTATCTAGTTTGTCATCCTAAAGTCTGCTTTCTGCTTGCAGGTTAAACTTGTAAAGTGTCTGGTACAGAACATTGTAGTAGATATCTCTTTCAATCAGTTGGGAGGGCTCTGTACTCTATGCTTCCTTGAACGGGTAAACTGCATGCCAAAATTAATGTGAATGGATTAATTGAATATTTTGATATATTCACTTAATTGGTACACCAACTATAAGTTTTGTTAAGTTAGAGATACATGCATCTCTGGTAATTAAAATCGTCATGTCTGCCTAATATGCAGATTAATGTATAGTACATGAAGACACTGCTTTCTGGTCATGTGGATAATCTATTTGACAATTAGCATATTGTTTATATTCTATTTTAACTTTTATCAATTTAAGATATTCTTGCTTCTTGTAGTGACAATGATGTTCTGCTTTTCAGTTTTCTAGGTCTTCTGTTGTGATATTTTTTATTGTTTTTCCTTTGATATTAATGGATGTCATTTAATATCAGAATTTCTCACTGTCTCTTACATTCAAGAGATGCTGATGGACTATATCCTTATTTAGATATTAAATACTAATGTTTTTATATTGTGAGGTTAGATTTCTGCAAGTTTAGATTTCCATTCAATATCCCTGTTTACTTGTTTTCCAGTAAAAGATACCAGCAGCAGGTCCAGCACTCAGTTTCAATTTGGTTATGTCACTATTAATATCCTTCATTGAGTCAATCAACTTCTTTATTAATTTCAATTAAGAGTCCATGCTGTTAAAAACGGGCAATGTGTTAGTTTTAGGGATTCAATGCAATGTGAATTTGACATGGGTAATTGCTATGGATTTTGGTTGAAGAATTACCACCAAGAGATAACTTCTCTCCCTTTGTTACATTTGCAATTAACATTTCCTCCTCTATTCTACAGGTTGACCATCTAATCGGAAAAGATCATCTCTTTAAACGCAGTATAATACTTATTAAAGCTTGGTGCTACTATGAGAGCCGTATTCTTGGGGCTCATCATGGGTTGATTTCTACTTACGCCTTGGAGACTTTGGTTCTTTATATCTTCAATGTATTCCATTCATCACTGAATGGTCCTTTAGCGGTGAGGGCTGTACAAGGTTTGGTAATTTTAACAAATTTATCACATAAAATCAATTCACTGAATATGGTCACTCTCTACAGGTTTTATATAAATTTTTGGAATACTTTAGCAAATTTGACTGGGATAACTATTCTATCAGCTTAAATGGTCCAATCCATATATCTTCATCGCCAAAAGTTGTGGGTTAGTGATCTACTAATTTTGCCTTCATTACCTAATTTTATTGTTCTGTTTGCTGCTTGATTGAAATACTTACCCCCCTTAATCCTTTTGTAGTTGAGCCACCTGAAAATGGTGGAGCTGATCATCTGCTTAGCAATGACTTTCTCAAGGACTGTCTAGAAATGTTCTCGGTTCCTTCAAGGGGAGTTGAGAATAATTTGCGTACATTTCCTCAAAAGCATCTTAACATAGTTGATCCGTTGAAAGAAAATAATAATCTTGGCCGCAGTGTTAGTAAAGGTAGACCCATTTTCCTTGCAACTTCCAATTAGGTTTGGTTACACAAATTACAGACTCTTTAATTGAGGAATAGCAAGCACAATTTCTTCAAGTTTCATTAGCAAATGGGTGTGTAGGCTGTCTTTTGTTATAATGATCATTGCTTTGTGTAGGCTGTCTTTTGTTGTAATGATCATTGCTTTGTTTTCTAGCTGCATATAAGGTAATTTCAAGCCTTCTTGTGCAGGAAATTTCTATCGTATAAGAAGTGCTTTCATTTATGGGGCTCGAAAGCTGCAGCACATTCTTTCCCAAGCAGAAGAAAACATTGGGAGTGAACTTCATAAATTTTTCCATAACACTTTAGAGAGGCATGGATGTGGACAGAGGCCTGATGTTCAAGATTCTGTCCACAGTGGATTAGCTGCAATATTACCAATTTCTGGCTCACAGTTATATCAAGAGGATCAAATGGGTTATGAACCAGAAGCATCAAATTCAAGTCGCATGTCTGGGAATTGTAGGTCAGATCATGAAGACTCATTACATAGAGTTGATAATGTTGATCAACCTGGGAGGGAAACCAGCTATAGCAAAACTCTCAATGAACCACAAAATTCTGCAAATGGATCTGCTGTTTCAGAAAGCCGTCTCTCTGGAGATGCAGAAGATTTGGCTACCTCCAGAATCCAAAGTCTTGTAATTTCAAATGATGCATCTATATCTTCATCACCCAATGCTGAGGGGGGCATTTCCCTTTTGGGTAAGGTGCCACATGCTCCTCATCTATATTTTTCTTCCTCATCTATGAGCAATGAAAATGTGGAATGGAAACAATCAGAAAATTCTGGTTTTACTGAGAAGAATGTTTCTTCTGGTATTCTTCCAGCTCTTGGTCAGGAGGCAGGTGTCTCTGGACTCGGTAATGATGAGGCTGGAAACAAGTCAATCGTTAATCAACAAGCCTTCTCCCCTGGTGGGTCAAGGCAGCATCCCTCAAGTACACATGGAAATCATGAGGCTTCAAACTCCTTGTCAAATCTCTCTGGGGATTATGAGAGTCACCATATTAGTTTGCGATATGGTCGGTGGTTCTATGACTCTATCTTGAGTGCACCTGTTTCTCCCGTGTCTTCACCAATGCTTCTGAAGAGCAAGAATTCTTGGGATGTTGTAAGACCATCCATGCCGTTCAAGCAAAACTTGATTCCCCCCATGAATGCAAATGGTGTTCCAAGGCCAGTGTTCCTTCCAATGAACTCACCATTGCTTTATGGTGCAGTATTTGGAATGGAAGACATGCCAAAACATCGAGGAATTGGAACATATTTTCCTAACATGGTATGCTTTTTGTTTATTTTTGGATTGCACTTTGTACTTATGACAGTTGAAAAATGTTAAATTTAGCATGTAGTCCAGCTCTCATCATTCGTGCTGCCTCTTCTTCTCCTTAAATTCTTCAGGTGGGCTTTGTCTCAAAATGTTGTATGCTTCTTTTGTTGCAGAACCATTATAGGGAGAAGTCCTTGCCAGCAAGAGGAAGGAATTACGTGCCAGTCAAGTCTCGTAATAACAATGGCCGTTCTATGACATTTCGTGAGACAAATTCACCTGAGAGAAGCAGCCCTGAGCTGTCACAAGTGTATTCTAATGCTCATCAAGGTGGTGGCAGATCAGGGGCTTCAGATCGCCACCAGTCACTTTCTGCTGAAAAGTTCTATCCTAATGCCGATTGTTCAGTGCATGATCCTGACAGTGTTGTAGAATTGGAGTCACTTGGGCAGGTTCCACCAGCTCCCCCTGTACCAGGTTCTCCTCATGCACCAAACTCAAGCACAGTTTGCTCAACACCAGGAGCACAAATGCCAGATAGGTATGAGAATTGAGAGACCCATCTAAACTTCTTGTAGCACCAGTAAAACATAAGTGTGACTCTAGCTTTCTCCTTCTTCATGCAGGATAACTATGCAATCATACCATTTGAAAGATGAAGAGGATTTCCCTCCTTTATCTGTGTGATAGCAGTGTGGTAGGATCCTCTATTTATATGGTTGAACCTTGAAAGTTCAGAAGATAGGCCACAGTTTTTGCTAACAGACCAGCCTGAGCCTCAGCTGTGTATATGGCTTTGGAAGCGATTTTATAGCTCTATATATGAAGTTCATTGTTTGATGCATGGTTCAAGGCACTTTGTAGATTCTACTAATTATCCCGATTCCCCACTTTCCATCAAATCTCCATAGTTATACGTGGCAATGAGATGCTGATGTATAGGATGCTTCAATTATGTTTTTAATCTTTAGTTCAGGTTCTGTTTTCTACCAAGTGGGTGCAGAAGAAAACAAGTATAAACACAGGTTTTGTTGTTGCTGATATCTGTTGTAACTTTTACTTAAAAATAGTGCTTTTTTTGCAACTCCGTCGGAGTTGGTGTAACTAATCTGGGTATTGTCTCGTTTATGATGCTCTTCACTGCCTTACCTTCCTCGATTCTAGATGCTTAGGATTTCTAGTTTTCTACATATGCAAACAAGTTGCCTTAAACCATTTGTTGGTGGTGTCTCAATGTTCTGCAGTCTGTCCTGCGCTTTTGGCTGAGTTCTAGTTTACTCAGCTCACGTTATTGACAAAAATAATTGTCATTGTCAACAGGCTGGGGCAATGTAGATGGTGGAAACCTAATAGAGGATGTGGACACTTTGAAAAAAAAAAAAATAAAATCAAGCTGTATAGCCGAAATGATAAGAAAACTAGAAGCCTTTTTTTTAAAACAAAAAAAGTTTGGGTTTTGATAGTCCAATTGTTTCTAGGTAAGTTTTAGCTCACCGCAATACTCTAATTCTTTTTTTGGGTTTCAAAACTTTAAATTTGAATTTGTCATGTAGAATAGTATTTGTTTATTAATTAATTTAACTTTAAGAGTCCGTATGATTAGAGAGTTATTTTATTAAAAAAGTAGTTAAAAAATATTATACAAAAAATTAAAAAATATTATACAGAAAGTTGTTATATATATTTTAAAATAAGTAGGAATAAAATTTTACAAGTTAGGAATTGTCTTAAAAAAATAAAAATATCACTTTTGCTTCTTCTTTTCTTAATTATAATATTAATATATAAAATTATTTAAATAATTAAGGTTAATACTTATCAATCCAGACTATTAAATAAATTAAAATCTCAATTTATATTTAGAAATTAAAATTTTAATTCAAAATTTAAAAGTTTAATTAGTTTTCAAATTTAAATTTTAATATTTAATAAGATAATTTTTTAAATTTTAAATTAAATTTTAAATAATTAAAATAATGTAATTTAAAATTAAAATTTTAAAAAAAATTAAAATTGGTATGTATTTTTTTTAATAGTTTTACAAAAAAAAATTTAAAGAACTTTAAAAGAAGGAAATTTCTCTCCACCATACACCCTCAAGGCCTGGGGGTTGGACTTTTCCACGATAATGAAGAATATTTCATTGAAATGATAGAAAAAGAGAAAATGCAAAAGGAAAGGTTTGTACTGCAGCCTTGTCAACCCATGGAAGAAACTACAAAGGACTGGCAATGCCATAACCAGTGAAGTCTTGATTTGTAGCCAGAATCTTAAGCACAATTTAGACTCCTTTTTTTTTTCCCCCTATTTTTTTAAAAAATTTATATAATGATTTGGTAGAATCTTTTCACCAAAAGAAGGTCAACTACACAGTTTGGAGTAAATATATACTATTTTTTTTAAGTGCATATATAATTATAGACAGTTAAGGAAAAATAAAGGTTTAATATCTTAGCAATCATTTTAAAGGTTGCAAAGTCGACCTTTTAAGGCATTTGAGGCTTTGTATCTAAAATTTTTGTATTATTGGTTTCAAATAAAAAGTTTAAGAGGAACAATCGCTGCAGTTCCATGATATTGGATTTGGGGTTAGGTTTTTTGTAAATTGTGTATTTAAAATTTAAAATTTTTTTAATTTTTTAATTAATATGTAAATAATTACAATCTATTAAAAAAAAATAATAATTTAAGATGATTAGCGGGATTTTCTTTTAATAAGGGACTGCTATTTAAGTTTTGATATATAAATTCATAATATGAAAGATGCTGCTGAAAAGTAAGGGATCGACTAAATTGTTAATAGGTCCAAAATTGAGAAACCAATATCTCAAGAAGTTAAAATTTATGTTTCTTAACTAGAGACCTTAGGTAAGCTTAATAAAAATTTATAGAAAAGTCTTAAAGATGTTTTAATAATTAAAATTTTATATTTTTTTTATTAGAGATTTTGAATAAACTTGAGGAACTCCTTAATAAAAATTTATGTAATAATGAGTTAAAAAATATCTAATTTATATAAGATTTGAAAGAATCATGTTATATAATTTATTATCAAATTTATAAAAATGATTTGCTGTGTGCCCCAAAAACTTCCACGCCCTCATTCTACGCCCCTTGTGATTACATCAATTAATAACACATTGACATTGTGAAGCACTTTACTAAAAGTTCAAGCACTAATATTAAGTGAAAATAATAATAAAAAAAATACCACTCTTAAGAGATGTTCAAAATGATTAGGGCTTGAGATGAAATTTTTTTAATTGAAATTGTTATTTTGGCGTAGAAATAATTGGAATGATTAAATTCGAACATTAGTGGAACGTTTGGAAGAGACGAGGCTACTACTTCTATTGTCCTGTACATCCATATTCAAACAGAAAAAATATGAAATAGTTAAATCATACTAAAAAAAAATCAATTATACTTTTTTTTTTTGGAACAAATTCGTAAGGATCAGATTCGAATCGTTGCCCTGAGAGTAGAAAAATACACTTATACATGATCTGATGCAATTGGACTTGAAGGTCAAAGTGCAAAAAATCAATTATACTTTGTATTATAAAACAAATAAAAATACATGTAAAAAAAATTCGAATGAGTTATTTTTAAAAGAAGCAATGAATGGAAGAAATAACTAAAAAGGGACCAACCTTAAATAAGACTCAAATACACGACCTCCAGGTCTCCACGCCATGTTTACACCCCACCCAACACCCACCACACA